AAAAATATAATACATCATAATATTTGCAATACGTTCTATAAGCGAAAATTGTTTTTTTTTTTTAAACACTACTTTAATAATAGTTGCACTGGAAGACTAATGTAGACTGCTGGGGAATATAAGGTGCAAAAGTGATCTAAACAAACATCGTTAGAGCCTTGACTAAAGCTGTTAGTCGTAGTTTAAACTTCACGGCAAACTGGTCACTTCAAAAATACTTCGTTCGTAGGTCAGCTAAAACCACAGAGATTGCCCATCGTCCCTTTGGCAGAATCGAAACGCTTCAAAAAAATATCCGCAGCTCAGATGCATCTTGGTAGTTGGGCGACGGAACTATTAACGTTCAGTCCGCATATGGGGGAGAATGCAACAGTAGACCGGGACGAGGTGTAAAAACCTTGCTTAAATTGTAACAGTGACCTTTCCGTTTGTTTTACTGGACCGGGTTGGATGGAAATTAATCTGTCACTTTACTTTTCTATGATAGTTCCGTTTTGGAGTGAGAAAATAAGGTCAGCCTGCAAGAAAAGCCATCGCATAGTGTCACATTTTCAATCAATCATAAATGAATTATTGAATCGTTTAATCCATTTTTTTCTCAAACTTTTCTTTTAAAGTCCCGGCGACTATTTTAAATCAAAATTTTTTCCACGGCGCCCTAACCTAAGTATAAGTGTGACTATTCGTATGTACTAAAACAAACACTTGTGTATCTTTGAATATTTCGCTGCGCCCCCGTGAAGAGGTCGCAGCTCCCGGTGTCAACGCAGCGCACAATCTGGGAATCACTGATTTAATCAGTAAAGGAATAGTGAATTGGCTTAACAAATGAATCAATCACGAAATAAATGAATGATTCAGTCAGTCAGTAAAACAGTTAATTATTCAAAGTATAATTAACTCAACAAAATGAATCAATCAATGAATATATGTACATAAACTCACCAACTTATTAATCAATCAATCAATGAATTAACGAGTCAACCAGTCAATGGATCTAATAGTGAATCAAGGAATTAATGAACCAATGAAGAATCAAACAATCAATTGATCAATTAATGAATAAATCAGTATGTAAATCGTTTAGATAATGCATAAATCAATAAATGAACAGCCGTCTTCACAATGAAGGTTCGTGTTAAGTGACCTTAAACTCTTTCAGTTTTATTTGTGTATTTGTGTAATGTCCCTGCACCTTTTTTTTTTTAATTAAATACGGTAAAAGTAGTTTTCCGGATCTGAGTCTCACTACCAGGTCTAGTCGTTTCCTGGCGGTACTCAACGGTGCCCGGTACCGGCATCTTATTTTCTAGGTATCATTTTGTCAAGGAAGTCACCGTGCTGTAGATGCGGATGGGAAGGTCATGTGTTCAGATCCCGATGCAGCCGGACTTTCCAATAATGACCTTGATTTCCAGGTCGACCCAGCCTTAAATGGGTAGCAGGGAAGTCGTGGGAGGTAAACGCGGCCAGAGAGATGTTTATCACATCATCCACTGAGCGCCCATTGGTCTATAACAGAGGTTCTCAACCGTCATAATGCCGCAACCCTTTAACACAGTTCGTCATGTTGTGGCTACCCCCAAACAAACAATTATTTTCGTTGATGCTTCATAACTTCAATGTTTATGTGTTCTCCCTTTTGTCTTTAGCGACCCCTGCGAAAGGGTCGTATGACCCACAAAAAGGGTCGCAACCCACAGGGTGAGAACGGCTGAACTTTAAATCTAACTCTAGCCCTATATGCCCAGTACGTCTGAAGACGCGAAAAAGGGTTGTTTACTTTTTTTTTACTTGTATGATTTTATCAGCGCTACTGTGGCAGACGCATTGTGGTGAGTACCGGCTGATTTATTGTTTTCTTGGGTGGGGAGGGGGGGGCGGCGGCGGGGGAGGGGGCGTCTCCTCGCAGCCAGCATATAAACAAATATAATTTTCTACTTGATTGTTTCTTTGCCATATGTCGACCAGTACCAACCCACTGGAAACGATGTACCATCTCTTCAACATGACCAGGAGGAACAGATCGCTGCTGACTGACCTTGACCTCAGTGACCTGGGGTTGCCCAACGATGACGTGGCTTACTACTACCACGGAGAACACTTCGACAACCTTCTCAAGCCGTGGACTAAAGAACGTCTTTTTATCCCAACCATCTCCACCTACGGGGTCACCTTTCTTCTGGGCCTGGTTGGCAACTCTTTGGTGCTTTTTGCCATGATAGGAGATAGGCGAGTGCTTTCAATTTTCATTTTAGTCTATTTCTATCGGTGTTAGAAATATGTTCGCATGAATTGATTGTTACAGTGGTAGATACAAGAAGGGAAGCTTAGCATGTTAAATGTTGTATAAAAAATCTAGATCACAGCACTTGGGACACCCCCATAAGCGCCCAGTCCCCATATTAAGCAGCAAACGCAGAGTCCCAATAGGGAAAGTTAGAGACAATAAACAAATTGAAAGCTCAAGTGGTACACCGAGTTTCTAAATTATATAGTTAACAGTCGTGATGACTATACTCGCTCTTATTGAAATTATTTTGATATCATTATAATACCTCACTTACCTCAGACAAAGGATTACGCCTGACTAAGCATTGCTCACACGTGACAATCATCGTGTTAATTATGTTTTTTTTAAAATAAATCTTTTGTTTAGTCAGGGACTCTGAAAGACTCTTAAGGACTCTGAAAACATACTTGTTTCCAGCATTGATTGTATACCTGGCTCCTCTGGAAGAAGCATACCCATGAGTTTAGTATTGCCATAATAACTCCCTTAAACATTAACTGCACCCTGTGGGGCTGAAAGAATTAAGCCCAACGATTTTATCCGTTTTACTTCATAAGCAAAAAATAGCACCAAAATATTTATGTTTTATTATCTCACAGTCCTCTGCCATGGAGAAGTGAATGGATGCAACACACAATATAAATCTAAGAAGTTCAACCAAGTCAAGGGATACACGTGTGCGGAAGAAAATGAATTATTCAACCTAGAGTTTATCGACTGATAAAACAACAGGAATTACATGCCGCAACAAAGAAACGCACACACGTAAATGTACACAAACACACAAGATTAATTTACATAGGGGAACACAGAGCAAGGAATTAAAATCATAGAAGACAAACCAGATGTTTGGTCATTTTGATTTATAAAACAAATTAGAAAGAGAACACAGAATGTCCTTACATCTACCTCAACACTGCGATTGGATAACCCGTATAAAAGAAAAGAATAATAATAATAATAATAATAATAATAATAATAATAATAATAATAATAATAAATAATAATAATAATAATAATAATAATAAGAAGAAGAAGAAGAAGAAGAAGAAGAAGAAGAAGAAGAAGAAGAAAGGTGTTCGTGTGATGTACTTTGCGTTTTATTTTCAGCTTTCAATATCAGCTCAGTTGCAGTCATTATTGCTAAAGTATCTTTTTTCCAGGTTTACCAGTAGTTAGAACATTTTTACGCCCCCAACTCGTTTACATATATAAAACATACTCAAAATGATTTGCCTATTGAAATGAACATACGAGAAAGGAATAGAGGTTAAGACCAGAAGTAGTTACCTACTGAACTGCAAAAACATTATAGGTGAGGGAAAACAAGGGTTCTTTTAGTGTAGGGGCCATGACATATTCTAATGACCCAGGCAGTAGATATATACACAGATTAATTAACTGACAGACTGACTTTCTACCCCACCAGGTCATCATACAAGCGATAAACACCCGATGACAATGTGCCACCATGTGGATGAGGATCACCGTGGAGAGGTCCCAGAAACCGCGTTCAGACAATTGGCCATATCTATGGCCTGCCTATATTGCGGCCCCTGGCAAAAGCCAGAGTAGGGCTTCAAATGACAAAAATTTCGTCCTGAAAAGGACGAAATTGGATAATTAATTAACTGACATTGACTTTATACCCCACCAGGACATCACACAAGCGATAAACACCCGATGACACAAAGTGCCACCATGCGGATGAGGATCACCGTGGGGAGGTCCCAGAAACCGCGTTCAGACAACTGGCCACATTGATGGCCTGCCTATATTGCGGCCCCTGGCAAAAGCCAGAGTGGAGCTTCAAATAACAAAAAATTACGTCCTAAGAAGGACGTAAGGAATGAAATTAATTAACTGATTGACTGACTGATTTTCTACCCCACCAGGACATCACACAAGCGATAAACACCCGATGACACAAAGTGCCACCATGCGGATGCCTATATTGCGGCCCCTGGCAAAAGCCAGAGTGGGGCTTCAAATAACAAAAAATTACGTCCTAAGAAGGACGTAAACAATATAACTAGTCCCCAATTAATAAACTGACTGACTGACTGACTTTCTACCCCACCAGGACATCACACAAGCGATAGACACCCGATGATACAAAGTGCCACCATGCAGATGAGGATAGCCGTCGAGAAGTCCCAGAAACCGCGTTCAGACATTTGGCCATATGTATGGCCTGCCTATATTGCGGCCCCTGGCAAAAACCCAGAGTAGGGCTTCAAATGACAAAAAATTTCGTCCTAAAAAGGACGAAACTGGATATAGACAATTAATTAACTGACTGACTGACTTTCTACCCCACCAGGACATCACACAAGCGATAAACACCCGATGACACAAAGTGCCACCATGCGGGTGAGGATCGCCGTGGAGAGGTCCCAGAAACCGCGTTCAGACATTTGGCCATATTTATGGCCTGCCTATATTGCGGCCCCTGGCAAAAGCCAGAGTAGGGCTTCAAATGACAAAAAATTTCGTCCTGAAAAGGACGAAACTGGATAATTATCTCATCATCAATTAATTAACAACACGGCACATAAATTTACTATTACCATTAGTTTCCGATTAAAATGAACACATACGTTTACTATTACCATTAGTTTCTGATTATAATGAGCATATACGTTTACTATTGCCCCTAATTTCCGATTACTATGAACACATACTTTTACTGTTGTCATTACAGTAGAAAAACCCGCTGCACTACGGCATCTTTCATGATCAGCCTAGCCGTGGCCGATCTGCTGTTTCTGCTCATTTGTGTCCCTTACGAAACTGTCAAGAATTTCATTGGACACTGGGACACAGGGACAGCACTCTGCAAAGTTTCTGGGGCTGTTGAGATGTTGTCTGCCCTGTCCTCTGTGCTTAACCTGATGACCGTCAGCGTCGAAAGGTAAGACATTCCTGGATATAAACCTTTAATAGGCGTAGTTGGCTAAACCTGACTTCGCGACCACCGGGTGACGAACTCCCTGTGGTCCGAGTTCACGCTCGGGGGTAGGCAGAAAAGCCAAATTTCTCCCAGATTTACGGTATCTATCACGGAATCAAGGCCGAAGGGTTGCGATATCCATAGTACCGAGCCAAAGGGTTAAGAACTGATGGTTTCTGAATGAAAAAAAAAAAAAAAGAGACAAGGGGAAGATCGTTACACGTTTACTGTACCACAATCCATAATATGGAGCTAAACGTTTTTTTTTTTCAAAATAAGACCTTGGCTCACAGGTCGACTCGGCCTTAAATTTGTATCAGGTTAAGTTCTGGGAAGTAAAGGCGACTGACATAATAATGTTGACCCAACATCAACTGAGAGCTGAATAAACTATATAAAATATAGGTCTAGTTCTGTATGCCCAGTACCACTAAAGTCGTGAAAATCGGTCATTTACTTACATTACTTACCAATCCATAATGAAAGTGTACACATCGAAAGAATGCCATAATCCATAATGTATGTGTGTACACGCTGTACACTGACAGGTTTCTGATTTGTTGAAACAAAAAAATCCTCACATTCAACCAGCATCCCCAAAGGGGGAGCTTTAGGTTATAATTGTGACTAGGATATTGCCCAATATTTAAAATGTCTTAGCATTGCTCGCCAACAAGAGCCCTGAAAGGGACTCCTGCACTGTTGATGCGATCAAAGTAGCCAGATCCAAATACTGTCCTGACCGACGACAAAGTCGTCTACCGGCGAGCCAATGGGTCACCCGGTCGCCAGTGATGTACAGCAACATAATCCATTAAGTATTTATGTCCCCCCCCCCCCACCCCCACTGTACCCACCGATATACCTGGCCTTAGCTTGACTGCTGTTGAATCTGGGCCTAGTGTAACCGTTATGGGTGGTCTAGTTATACGTTATACTGTTTCTGAAGTATCAACCACGTATCTGGGATTAGTCCTGTTTATTTGCCATCAGAACACTCAACTGATACAAATGAACGCGTGGAATCAATCTTTTATCCAGAAAAAACGTCCTTTCGTCTTGATTCTCTCGTTTATTGTTGTGTCGAGGTGAGGGGGAGAGTGCTTTTTTGTGCCTTTATATAAGTGTGTTTGCACGGACTCATTTATCCTCTACGTGCGTCCATTGTATGTTCCACATCTCTTGCTGTTCAAACTTGATTTGCAGTTGTGTGTGTGTGTGTTTGTCTGTGTGTTTTTGTGTGTGTTTTCTGTATGTCAATTTTTAGATAGTTTTTCCTTCCAGGATTGGAGTCTGCATGATAAGCAAATAAAGGATGAGAATCAAGCAGGTGCATATCCCTCAAACCCAATTCAACCGTATAGCCATAAATAAATGAGATCCTAATCGAAAAAGGAAACACAAGGATGGAGACGAGATAGGAAATGAGTATTGGAGCAGAAGTAGTTTCCTGCTGAACTGCATAAACAGGTTAGGTAAGGATATAAAGAGGTTTTTCTCGTGCAGGGGCCATGACATATTCTCATGACCCAGGCAGTGAATATGTATACAAATTAGATAAAAACACGACATGTACAACATAGGTAGCACCTACTCAGACCACGTGCACGAACTACAAGTCATGTTCTGAATTAAACACATGGAATATAAAAACCACATTCAACATATATTTATTTTCCGAAACACACACTATCGTGCTTCGCAGATAACAACACATCAACATTTTATTTAAAAACAGCTTTTTGTTGTAAACTGTCTGTTAGCGGTCCTCGAGAATGACGTCTAAACACGTTAGCCTCATAGACACCAACCTTTACTGTGTGTTTCGTTAGAGTTCATTTACTTGAGTGCGGGTACATAGGGCTTTTACATTAATGTTTTTCGGTGCTACTGCGATGACTATAAGAACTATCTAGTACAACGATTTAATCCCGGCACACGTTATGTTGGTTGGGTTTAAAAGCTGTAGAAGAAAAGGACAGACAATGCATGACCGAGAGGCGAGTAAAAGGAGATGAGAGAATGAAGGAATAAACTTTATTTTCAAATGGACACATCTCGGCATGTAATGGGCATGTAGACCCGTCTTACTCTTGGGCACTTCCGGAGAGTTTCTATCAGCTAAAGAAGATAGCAATCGAAAGCTGTCGTTACCATGTCGGGGATGGATTCTGTCACCTCCAGATGACGATAGCGCCTCCCTGCAGAAACAAGTTTTATAAGACGACTGGTCAGCTAGGCACCCCTAAAAAAATTAAGCATTCATTAGCAGTATCTATCGTAAAGCTTAAACATACACCTTTTATCTTTAAAGGGTAACTTATGGTGTGTGACAGAATCGATTTCCAGCAGGGTAGCTACAGCTTTCGAATTTCATGTTGTCATTTGTGTCTTTTTATCTTTCAGCTTTTTTCTATGAGGGCTGGTCAATTCATTTCTATTTTCTTGTTATTAACTTAACTGTTTGTATGTACTTAGATGTTCCCCCTTCTGTTTATGTGTGTGTTACATGTAGGATAAGAAACCAATTGGATTGGATATAATAAGAAATCGATTGGATTGGAGACATTAGGTATGCCTCTCATTCAACATAGCATTTATGGATAGTTAAAAGTAAATAAAATATGTCTTGATTGTCTTTAAGCTGACTCAGTTTCATCCCAAGTAAGATTAATCCAGCCTGGGAATTATACATGACATTGCATATCGGAAAATATCACAGTAGCATATCTAGGTCATGGTTGCGCAATTTTCGAGAAACAATTATCTCATTTCACAGCTAAATCCGATTAGAGGCTTAGAAGAAAACATGATTATGAAAACGTCAAACATTAACAGTGAAAACCTTTGATTTATTAAATAATCCTAAATTTTTCCTTAAATCCTTTATTTTGTGTTAATAACATTATGTAAGCGTCTGTGGCTTTGGGGTTGCAAACGCGCTTCGTAATGCTGGGGGTTCTGGGTCCATCCCGTTGCGGGCCTTGCGCTTTGCGTTGGTTTCGACAGTGGTATCGCGAGCCGATCGTCCAGTAAGCTATGACACATTACTGAACATACATTCGCCTTGAAAAACCACAACAACAAATCCGGAGGTGGTTCTGCAACGTCATGTAAAGGATACGCAACTAAATGTAAGGCGACATTAGAAGAAGGCATATTAGGCATATGAAAGCTTATGATACCATTTTACTGACCGGTCGACGGATGATCGCTAATGTCATCAACATACTAGCGGGTGTTTTTATTTCCCAAGATATTCACTGGTACCCATTTTAGGCTGTGTCCACCTGGGAGCCAGGGTGGGTTATTCCCCCCACCCCCCTCCAAGTCCACCCAGTGTGGATTCGAACCCGAAGCTATCGGGCCGGCAACTAAGGTGCATGTAAAAAGGAGAGGAGGGGGTGTTTGGGGAGTCTTTGACCTTGAGAATTTAGGTCAGCATGATAAGTGCTGTCGCCACAGACTGTACAGGTTAGGATTTATTTTTGCCACTGACAGAAAAAAATATTACTGAGCCTGAACGAGGTTTCGAACCCGAGTATCCCGCACGAAAGACCAGGGTTCCTAATATTTCGGCCACCTTCTGCTCTTAATACGGAGCAATAAACCAAATGGGGCGGAACTGACCACCGCATTCCAGGGAACCCGTGTTTTCTTGTCCTCCCTTTGTTTAACAATATTTGCCTCGAAGTTAACATTAGTACCAACCAGTTTTATCAAAAACGTCGTAGAGGATGCCTCCCGAGTTTCCGTACATATAAAAAATAAAAATTTTTCATGAAAACGTTTTAAAAATTATATATATGACATGGCAATGATTGCCATGTCATATATATAATTTACATACAAATGACATATATATGATTTACAAATATATATGATATATATATATATATATATATATATATATATATATATATATATATATATATGTATATGTATATGTTACATATATATATGATATATATGATTTACATACAAAGACAGCAAGTGAAATGGTTTGCCCACTTAGAGAGAATGCCTTGTGACACCATACCATGCAAAGCATACATCTGAAGAGAAGAAGGACGTAGAGCACGGGGTAGACCAAAAACAAAATGGAAGGATAACATCAGAGAAACTCTACAACAGCACGATGTGCCTATGGTCGAGGCAGCCAGAAGAGCAAGAAACAGAACCTTATATCTCCCTCGACACCCACAGCGGTAAAAGAGGAAGTGAAGAAGAAGAAGAATGATTGTGGTGTACCGGTTAGACGCTCGCCTGTGGATCCGAAGGGCGGGGATTCAGGTCCTGGTTAAGCCGGACATTTTTTCCTTTATAAATCCCCTTATCTGCCTTATTCTTAAATAGGTACAGATAAATTCCTCTGGGAAAAAAACTGGCCTGGCACTAACCACATCTTCTACCGAGTACAATGAAACAAAATCTGCTTCACTTCTATGTTCGTTCATTCCACTGTTGTGCGTGTGCAAACACCTAGTGGGAATAACCTCCCTCTTACCGTTCAGGAACTAATTAAATTCCTTCTAACTCCATGCCCACAATAAAGAAAACATTGCCATAGTGATCTTTCAAAATAAGTTTTATTATGTAACCACCACCCTGGAGCTTCAGACACAGTCAAAAACATCTCAGTATCTCAAATTTAGGTCTATAAATTTTATTGTTGTTATTAAAGATTTTCTCTTCCCTCTTCTTTTGACAATTATTATAACAAAAGATTTACACCCAAAACAATTACTTCAGTACAATTATTTGAAGTAAGTAAAATCAATGATTTAGCCTCTAACTTTTATCTGAGTGTTCTTTAAGATTACTCTATATAGAGTTTCCCCAAGTCCCGACTTAAATCTCTAGCCCACTAAGTCTAACCTAGCTTGGCCTCCCCTCCCTCTGATTCAAGAGGTCCAGTCACTCGCTTATATAGGTGCCATTAGCTTGCTTCCCAGAATCCC